ATCCGCCCTGCTCTGTGCATGACGGGGTGGCGCCCCAACTCCCCAGTCGGCCCTGCTCTGAGCCTGACCAAGGGCTGCACCTAGGGATTGGGTCTGCCCTCTGCCACCCGGGAGCAGGCCTAAGCCAGCAGGTCGTTATCTCCCGAGGGGTCCCAGACTGCGAGAGGGCACAGGCCGGGCTGGGGGACCCCCCGCTCCCCCCCGAGTGCACAAATTTTTGTGCACCAGGCCTCTAGTATATAATAACTGACCATCTGGCTAACTGGATGGCTGATGTTAAAACTCATGGCACGCCAGACCATGCGGCACAGGGAAGAAAGAGCTCAGTCAGGTCTGCGTCCGAGGCCAGGCTCTGCCACTGACTAGCTGTGTGATCTTGAGCAAGGCACAACCTCTCTGTGCCTTTCTTTTCTCCTTTGGAGACAAAATTTTCTACTTGACTCAGCACAGAGCCAAGCATAATAGGTGCCTAATAAATGTCAGTTGTTATCATTGCCTTCATTATTACCACACAGCTGAAATTTCTTAGAGGCAATATGTCGCCATCAACTCAAGCACAGTGAAGCAGTCAGGATAAGAGGGGTGCCAGTCTGCTAAGATGACTGTGCTATTTCTATTACTTTGGGGCATTTTTTAAAACAAAAACAGAAATTTGTGCCTCCCCTGTGCAAAAACACTAGTGGAGCCTAGAAGCTACAGATGTTCCAGAACAGAAGTTTTTCTAAGCCCTTTGTTGATTGAGGGGCTCTTGGGGCCGCCCTGATGTATTGGCCAGCATATGGCCACCACAGTCACGCTCTGTCTTGGGGAGTTACTTGTGCGGCCTTGAGAAAAGGGTTGTACCTCTCTGAGCTTTAGTTTCCTTACCAGTAGAATGCGGGTAATCTTATAGTGACATTTCCGAATGGGGTAGCTGTGACAAATGAGGTAATGCAGGCAAAGTACTTACCACAGTGCTGGGCCAGCACTGCTCACCCAGCGCCTGCTAATGAGATGAGAAACAGGGGCGCCTGAGCTGCAGGGAGGTCACTGGGGGCAGAGGTTCATGCGGAAGGATTTGGTGGGCATCCGCTGACCCCTGAGAGGCCAGCGCAACACATGGCCTAGGGCAGTGGTCGGCAAACTGCGGCTCTTCAAACTGCGGCTCGAGAGCCACATGGGGCTCTTTGGCCCCCTGAGTGTGGCTCTTCCACAAAATACCAGCTCTTCCACAAAATACCGACTTCTGCGTACGGGCCATGAAGTTTCAATCGCACTGTATGTGCGTGCCCGCACGTGGTATTTTTTGGAAGAGCCAAAGAGCCGCATGTGGCTCGAAAGCCACGGTTTGCCGACCACGGGCCTAGGGAATTGTCTCACAGAGGTCTCAGGAGCAGTTGGTCTCACCCAAGCCCCCAGATTCACTCCCTCCACAGGCTCCAGTCAAACAAACTCGCCCCAACGCCCTCTCAGTTTGTCAGGTGGCTCCTGTCCTTCTTGCCCTGCTCTTTCCTCTCTTTCCAAGAAACCATGAGAATGACTTCTGGTTTTTCTCGCTTGTGCCTCCACCGTCTCTTCACCGAGGTCCTGATGGTACAAATTTTGTGGTGAATGAATGTTTCTGGTTGGGTCTCAAAGCTCAGGGTGTCCTCTTCTCCACAACTCAGCCAGGTCCAGCAAGCCCGGGGCAGAAATAAGCCAGCCCCAGGGCTCAGAGGGGAGCACAGGAATGCGTGTGGGGGTGTCACGCTCCATGCACTGCTAAGCCAAGAGAGGTGAGGTGTGGATTTCACCCCGTGTCCAGACTCTTCTCCCTTTATCAACACAGGGACTGGCTGCTTATTTGCCTGCTTTCTGGTTTGCATGGTGGGTTTCCCTCTAAGGAGCCTCCCTCACCGGGGCCAGCAATTTTGCACAGAGTGGGCACGGTGTTGATGCCAACAGAGGAAAGAGTCAGCTTCTTAGCCATTCAGGAGAGGGAGGGGCCGAAGAACTTAGCCGGGCAGAGTAATTGGACCTCGGGGTAGCAAATGAAATTCCA